GAAGGGAGCGTGAGTGGCACCACACTCCGGATCAGACAAAGGTCCGAAGAGCTGAGAGGGGCATCGACGGAAAAAAAGTTTTGGAGAAAAGATAGGTATTACCTATTCAAATATAATTTAAGACTGATAGTAAATGTGCTATCTTATTATTTACTTTTTAACTCAGCCAAGTTTTTGGCTACCAAGACTGCTTTTATTGAGCATAATCATTTGACATTTAATTTGGAATCAGTTCCAACTAATTTAAATTAGTGAATGTGACAATAAAGGCAATCTCTAGCAATAATAAGAGTTTAATTAATTTTGAATAGAGCCCACAAATAAGTAATAAAAATTGTTTACACCTGGTGCATCAAAATATACAAGGCATGTTGGGCAAAGAATTGGAAGTTGAATTGTTTTTAAATAGTAACAATATACACATCCTTTGTATTACTGAAAATTGGCTAAAAGATTATAATTTCATGTTTAATTTCAGAAATCACCAGGTGGTCAGTTCCATCAATAGAGAAAAAAGTTTACTTGGTGGCTCCTTAATATTAGCAGATAAATCATTATTATATAAAAAACGTAAGGATATTGTGAGCCTCTCTGTTGAACGAACTGTAGAAATGGCTTGTGTCGAGCTCGAGCACCTCATTGTTGTAAGTGTTTACAGACCCCATGTGCTACTTCTGACCATTTTGAAAGGATTGTGGAAGAAGTTTTACTCAAACTTAGTAAACAGAACAAGTCTGTTGTAATGTGTGAAGACTTTAACATCAATCTTCTTGAAACTTCTTCCATTAGTATTAAGTTTCGCTCATTGTTTAAATCGTATAATCTTGTAAATTTATTCTTAGAACCAACACGTATTGCTGGGCCTAGTGCGACCGGTATAGATAACATTTTTACAGATGTTAAGCCCTTGCATAAATCAATTATTCAAAATTTAAGTTCAGATCACTGTGGACAGTTGGTATCACTACCTTACATACACAAAAAACAGAAAAATAAGAAAGTTGTGTTTGTTCCAATAAATGAACATCGCTTGGAGAGGTTTAGAATAATATATAATAAAAAGACTTCCATCACTTTCGTTTAAAAATAGTGCTAATTATTTGTATGCTACATTATTTGAAATTATACGTTGTGAATTTAGTAGAATATTTTATTTTATTTACTTCTAAAACTTTCTCTTTTAACAGTCGCAAATCATTTAATGAATGGGCGACAGTAGGAATTTATAAAAGTAGGCGAAGGTTATACGAGCTTTATGATAAAAGATCATATAATAGTATTTGGAGATTATGTAAAAACATATTCTAAAATATTTAAAAAAGTGTGCTCCACTGCTAAGGCTTTACATTTAAGCAACAAAATTAAAACTGCATCCGACTAAATTAAAATGACCTGGAGAATAATAAATAGTGTAACGGGCAAGGTCAAACCGCGCAACTCGGATTTTCAATTGAATATTAACAATAATTTAACGCGATCTGATCAAGAAGTTGCTATGGCTTTTGAGAAACATTTTACTGATGTTCCTTTTTTGACAACAAAATCATTAAATTCTTCTCCAACTGTCGCCGAATCATTGCTCAAACAAACTGTAAAGGCTTGTTCAAATACTTTTAAATTCCATAGGGTACTGCCAAAAGATATCGTTAAATATTTTAAAACTATTGATGTTAATAAAACGGCAGACTTATGGGGGATTTCCGTTAAAGTTATTTTATCTATAATAGATACATTAGCACCTTATCTAGCCACTATATTTAATATAAGCGTCGAATCTGCTGTGTTTCCTGATTTAATTAAACATAGTAAAGTCATACCTATATTTAAATCTGGTAGTACATTAGACCCCGCCAATTTTAGACCAATTTCTGTACTACCAACATTAAGTAAAATTTTTGAAAAAATTATTTTAAATCAGATGTTAAGTTTCTTTAATATTAATAAATTGCTACATAAAAATCAATTCGGTTTTACAAGGGGTCGCTCGACAACTGACGCTGGAGTTGAGCTTATTAAACATATTTTTTGTGCATGGGAGAATTCAGAGGATGCTTTGGATATATTTTGTGACCTTTCCAAGGCCTTCGACTGTGTTCACCATGAGACATTAATCAGGAAGCTACAGTACTATGGTGTCAAGAACACAGCGCTTAAACTTATTATTTCATATTTAAGTAATAGAAAACAGAAGGTTGTTATCAATGGTAAAAGTTCTTCCGGGTCACCTGTACTAATGGGTGTACCTCAGGGCTCGATTCTCGGCCCATTCCTGTTTCTGGTGTATATTAATGTCTTACCTCACCTTGTAGGGGATAGTCAAGATATAGTATTATTTGCTGATGATACTTCCTTGATTTTTAAACTTAAACGTCAATCATTTAAATGTGACGAAGTGAATAATGCTATATCAAAATTAGTGCATTGGTTTAACGTTAATAATCTGCATTTGAACGGAAATAAAACTAATTGTGTTAAATTTACAACAACGAATATTCAAAATCTGAATACCAATGTGTTTTTAAATGGGGAGGAATTGAGCCCTGTTGTATCCACTGTTTTTCTTGGCATCACTCTTGACGCAAAGCTTCAGTGGGGCCCCCATATATCCAAATTAGCAAGCAGACTAAGTTCTGCAGCCTATGCTGTAAAAAAGATTAGAGGTCTCACTAGTGTCGAGACAGCTAGATTAGTTTATTTTAGTTATTTCCATAGCATGATGTCTTATGGGATTTTGCTATGGGGAAATGCGGCTGATTCAGAAACTATTTTTGTTTTACAGAAGAGGGCCATTAGAGCTATTTACAATCTAAAACCGAGAGAGTCTCTTAGAGATAAATTTAAAGAAATTAATATTTTAACTTTGGCCTCTCAGTATATTTACGAAAATTTAATGTATGTTCACAAAAACAAAGATAGTTTTAGTAAAAGAAGTGATATACATTCTGTAAACACTAGGAACAAACACAAGCTAGTGATACCAGTTTCTCGACTCCAGTCAGAGTCAGTAATTCATTCTTGGGGCAATGTATACGCTATTACAACAAGGTCCCGGAAAGTGTACAGGTTCTCTCTATTACCAAGTTTAAATGTTTTATTAAGCTGAAACTGTATAAAAAGGGTTATTATAGTATAAATGAATACATGGTTGATAATAACCCCTGGGAATGAGGTGATCGCTTCCAAACAGTTTCTAAAATAAATTTTGTAAATAGTTCGTAATCATTTATATTGTAAAATTTATTTTAAAAAAAAGTCCCGCTGGGTTTCTTGCTGGAATTACACATGTAATGTATATTGAATAAAAAATATTCTATTCTATTCTATTCTATTCTATTCCTGATATCCGTCCCGATGAGAGGTCAGCAGAAGGTCCAACAGGGAAGGTGTATGATCGTCCACATCTGGAATCCGCGTAGGCGACGTAACCAGTTGTGTCAGATCATATGCCAAGGCAAAGTCATAAACAGATCTCCCCGAATGATCAGTTAAACGTGAACCGAGCCATTCGGCATGGTGGGCGTTAAAATCGCCAAGGATCACGATCTCTGCGGATGGGACCTGTTGTAGCAAGGAATCTGTAGCCATTTGGACGTGGTCGATGAGTCGGTCTGTTTCGGCATTACCGCTATGGGACCTATAGAGGCACCCGTAGACGCGCGGATGGTCGTCGTTGTCTACGCGTAGCCAAAGGATGGACAGGTCCGAACCTTCAAGACTGCCGAGGCGTCGAGAACAGATGTCCTCTCTGACATACACGCAAACTCCAGCCCGAGGCACAAAGGAGTGCTCCAATTTGTACCCCGGGCAGGAGAGATACGAAATATCAGCCGGAGAGGAAACCTACGTCTCGGTCAGAAAGAGCAAGGCCGGCTTCGCCGTCTCGAGATGGTAGTGGACGGTGTTTAGGTTAGAGTGAAGTCCCCTGATGTTAGTTATTGATAGTTAGCGGATGGATGCAAATTAATTAATATCTTTATTGTAATGGATTTACGATGTTAGGTTTTGGGTCTTAGGTTTTTTTTTTCGTTACGGAATTTCTTGATTCGGTCGCTGCGCTCAAAGCCCTCGATAAAAGCTATGCAAAAGCTTAAAAACGTTTATTAGCAATAACCATAATGAAATTAGGCTAAACTAGTTGTATTATTAGAAATTAATCATATAGATGCGGCAATACCATCAGTATCTCGCAAACGCTCTGAATATAATGCTCAATAACTCAACTGGAAGTGAAAGTACACTTGTTCCCGCAGGATAGAACTGTGAGTATGTAGACGTTAATTTGGTTAAAATAAAAATGTTGTACCTCTACTGGAGAGAATTGGGGTCTTCAGCGGCATGTAGCTCGAGCGAATGCGAAAACAAAGTGACGTAGAAGCCCCAATTCACACCTACTTATACCTATATATGTAATACGATTCCTATTTTAAGATTTAGTGACTACTTGATGACAGGCTTCTACCGAGTTTAAAACATATCACCACATATAACTACAAGTGAACGGATCGTAGTATTTATATGTATTTCTATCTCTACACAGACGAAACAATTCCTCTCGGTGATTTCAAAATCCATTTTTAATTTAACTACTTTGTGCTAACTCATTTCGTTGTTATAAATTTATGCAAAAATTTAAATTAATTAATTGAGACCATAAACAGAGTCCAAGTTCACTTGGAGCCGATTTTCCAATACTCATATAAAATTTATTCATAGGTTACAACATAAACAAATTAAAGATTACAGATTATAAATAAAATAGTTCAATTGTGTCGTTCTTTTATTCAGTCGCGGTATAATTTATTCGATGGATAACGTGAAAGTGACGTTTGTAAGAGCAGTCGTTTATTCAATTAAATTAAAAAATAAAATAATAACAATGGTTTAAAAGTTCAAATATAATTTAATTTTGATGGAAAAGATATAATAGACAAATAGAAAAAAATTGTAATACACTTTGATTTAAAGTAAAATTAATTTCATGTCGAAAATAAAACAAAGGCTTAGTCTTTTTTTGATCCTCGATACGGATGACGTTTTCTGAAATAAAAAAAATAACAATTACTAACTCACGTATATTTCTAAACTTGAAAACACGAGTATATAACCAGTCCTTGTTGCCAGCGATGACATAAATTACGGATTTGAGACGTGATCCTTCACTGCTGGCAGTATGAGTCGCTTAGTAAAATGTCTCTATGGATGTCTTGTAAAAGTTCCATATTGGAAGGGGCTAACAACCGGTAGATAAGAAAGATTCTCGAGCGGCAGACTCACACCTTGATACCTCATACAATGATTACACACACCAAAATAATAGGTATTTTTTAAGGAAACTTACGATGGTATAGTCAATGTGTAAATTCCAAACTTGGTGTTAATATCTTCAAGATGAAAGATACTTTGAATGTATTCTTCATCAGCTGGTACAGCCGGGGTTTCAAATACGAGATTCATTATATAGTCCTCGACACAGCTGTCAAATAAAAAAAATTATAGAATACATTTTCATAGTAAGATTATCTTGTAACCTAAAACTGATGTTTGCTCCATAAAAGGCCCTTTATGAACTTTAGTGAGCGATTGTTATTTAACGGCGTTTTAGAGATCGGAAAGTAGAAAATATTTTTTTATATTATTCTATACATATTATAAATTGAAATCCTATGCCGCATCTGTCTGTGTGTATGTTTCGGACTAATTTCAGAACCTACTGTACAGATTTTCATTCGATTTTCGCCAGTAGACAGACTGATTTGTGAGGATATTTTTTCTAATTTTAAATTTATTTATTTTGTGAACATAGATTAGTTTTCACCTTGATATGTACATAGTAAAAGATGAGGTATTCTATATCTCTGCCCCAGTTGCGTTCCGAACGGAGAGCCCGGGACCCTTCATATACGCTGATGGTGACCACCGTGGGGTTTTTGCCGGTAGGAATCCGGCATAACCTTTCTTTTGTGCCCGCAGCCGAATGAATTTATATATGAGGATTTCCTCCACGATAAAAAAGGTACTCTATATCCTGTCAGTAGGTATAATTAATATATGCCTACTGTAATGGTGCCTACTGGATATTTGTCAATTAAGTCGGAAATGATCGTGCCTCCACAGAGTTTCCCTGGGCACTATAATCCTGTGCTTCGCAGATGGCTAGCCTCTGTTCAGATTCGCGACCGCAATTTGGTCTGGAGATAATTATTACTTACTATGCACATGGTTTGTAGGGCACGAGCTTTTCAATTTTATTTGGCCGTAACTGCTCCACGTATGGATCTGCCACCAATTTAACAGCCTGCGAAGCTGGTCCTTTCCGGGCTTTAGGCGTTGGTGCTGGAGGCTGAAATAAAACTTTTAAATTACAGCCTATGAACGTCCCACGTTTCGTCACAGTATCGCTTATTAGCTAATGCCCTTATTTTAGGTTACAAAATATTATTTTTTATAGAAGGGGCAAACGAGCATGCGTCCCAACATCAGGTGAATTGCAGGTGCGTTGCCGGCCTTTTAAAAAGACAGGAGGGCCTTTTTAAAAGCTCGTTTCTTGAAAGTCCCCTAGTCGTATCGGTCCGGAAAAGTGGTCGGTGCTAAACAATTCTACAAAAAAGTCGTCCGAGAAAGAAAACTCCTAGTAAATCGCACAGTAGTTTTATTTAGTACTAGCTGTGCCCCGCGGTTTCATCCGTGTATATCACGCGTCTGAGCCGCGCGACATGACACCTCGCTTAAAGTTAAAGTTAAGGTTACAGCTTATATAGGTATGTCCCACTGCTGGGCTCAAACGTCCTCTCACTTCTGGGAGGGTTTTAGGGCAAGGAAATGTCCGCCGCGCTGCCCCAATGCGTGTTGGCAGACTTCACACGTATTCGATTTTTTTTAATTTCTCAGACATGCAGGTCTCCTCCCAATGTTTTCCTTCACCGCCAAGCACGTGGTAAATGTAATGGCACGTGAACACCTCGCTTATGCCTGTATATTGTGACACCTCACGCACCGGCGTTCTCTGCTTGTTTCTCTCGGTTCTCATCGGTTGGTTAGTCTTATCCGTCGTTCGCGCGCCGAGCCATGTGTGTTGAATTATTTTAATTTTTCATTATCTCTTAAACTATGCGTTCAAATGACATGCTATTAGCAGCAAAGTTTATCTCTATAAAATTGTCTTGATGATGAAGTAAATTTCGTTCCCAAGAATTCATATGCCATGCCAAATAATAACGTCCATAAATCACTTTTAATTTTCAATAATTTTTTATCACAAAATACCTTATTGTGGCTATAATAGGTATATGGTATCACAAACTTTTTTGTGGACGGAGTAAAGATCAATATTTCTGTAGAACATTATATTTACTTATCACTAACCATTACGTCAGCGCACTCGAATAAAGCAACTCGGGGCGCTTTTTGTTTTGAGTTGCATAACAAAAATCAATATTCAAGGCTAAGGCCGAGATGTAGCCTGATGAAGCAAACAAAATAAAGAAAAACCTCTTCCGTATTATTATATTATAATAGTATAGATTATAATAATGTAAAAAAAACATTACGTAGTTGCGATGCAATTCCCAGCGGCAAACCATTCCCACTACAGTTGCACAATTGTATAATTTCATAGTTAGCTATTAGCGGTCGGTAAACTCCGACATAAAAGCTTTTAAAATTGTGATTTAAAAGTAAAAAAGTTACCTAGGTATATTGTATGTATAGTTGGCCTATGTACGTCCCACAGCTGGGCACATACCTCACCTCATTTCTAAGTGAGCTCTAGATAGTGTGTACCGCACTGCCCTTATGCACGTTTTATTTTTTATAGTAGAGAGGGTAAACGAGCATGCGGCTCACCTGATGGTAAGTGACTATCGCCGCCCATGAACAACTGCAACACCAGGGAGGTAATTGCAGATGCGTTGCCGGCCTTTTAAAAAGGAGTGCGCTCTATTCTTGCAGGTCCCTAAGTCGTATCGGTCCAGAAAAATCGCTGATGGTAATCGATTCCACAAAGAAATCGTGCGAGGAAGAAAACATCTTCTAAATCGCACAGTGGTGGACCGCCAATCATCCAGACGGTGTGGATGGTATCGAGAGTTCTGCCGCGATGTGCGTTCGTGAAATTTGGCGGCTGGGATTAATCCAAACAATTCCTCAGAGCACTCCCCGTGGTAGATGCGAAAGAAAATGCAAAGGGATGTGTACACGCCCCTAGCTGTCCCGACAAAGGTCGACTATACAGGATCCCATACAGCTGTAGACTCGACGGACAACTAAGGACGGGGCCCAAATGGCCTATGGACTATTGACATACACGATAGAGATAAGGCTAGGTAAATAAATAGTACGTACCTGCTTAGAGGAGAAGACTGGACTCAAGGCTCGGTCAGGCGGTAGGTGTAATGTGAGTAAGTGGTGTTTAGTGGTGTGTTTATATAGGTGGCCTGACCCAGCTGAGGTGACCAGGCAGCGGCCTGGTCCGATGCTGCCCCACAATGTAATTCACTCCAGCGGACGTCACCAATTGGCAATTTCTTTCTTCAGTTCACTATGTCAGTCTATCAACTTTATTGTACATTTAACTAACTTCAAACTCAACTAAATCCCCGTTAATTATAATCAAAAACGTAACACACGGCACGACTAATGAACGGTGGGTCAAAGTTCACTTCCATTTCACTCAGTAACAAATTATTTCTAGAATCGAACGCGACCTTATAAGGCACTTAACGCGACTGTACAATTAAATATTAACTTCCAAACAATTAATCGACCCGGCGTCTAATTTTCTAGACTCCACAACTCCTCGTCGTTGCATAAATTTGCTACTAAAGCCGACACAATCAGAGGTTTTATTTACGTGACCACGCGGTCCGCCGAGTAGATTCACTACAATACTACGACCCGGCCGCCGCTGGCGACAAAAAACTGCCCGGTATCCCACGCGTCCGGCGCGTGCGGGGAGGCGCACGCGAGCCGCGTACCAGCCGGTGCCAGGTATATCGGAGGAGCGCGCCGACGCGCCCCGTTATGTTGTTTTTAAATTTTAGCGTTTGGCGCAAACAGGATGCAACATCTCTTCGCAGTGCCAATGAATCGAGCCGATCGGAAAGGACTCGGTCGTCGACTATTCGAGCCGCTCTGCGCTGCATGCGGTCAAGTGGAAGGAGCTGGCACTGGGGAGCCCCTGCCCAGAGATGAGAACGGTATTCCATGTGAGGCCGAACCTGCGCCTTGTAAAGTTGCATTCGGTGTGCCGGCATGAAATACTGTCCCGCTCTGCTGAGCACGCCAAGCTTTTTAGCGGCCAAATTGGCCTTCTCTTCCAAGTGACCACGAAACTGCACGTCACTCGATATGTCGACTCCGAGGATTCCGATACGGGCTGAGGCAAGAAGGGGAGTGCCTTGAAACTGAGGAGATACTACAAAGGGGTTCTTTATAGCGGTAAACGCGCAAACTTGTGTCTTCTGAGGATGAAACTGGACTAGATTTAGTCGCCCCCAATCCGAGACTTTGTTCAGCAAAGACTTGACTTCAGACACAAGTTTGTTCCGGTACTCTGCGATGTCTTCCCGAGAAATATTGGCACGGCAGGTGTATAGAGCATCACCAGTGCTGTCATCCGCATAGCAATGAATGTTACCAGTTAGCAACATATCATTGATATGCAGAAGAAACAGCGTTAGTGATAGCACATAGCCTTGTGGAACACCAGCGTTAATAGGCTTGTAGTCGGAGCATGCACCGTCTACAACTACCTTTATGCTCCGATCTGCAAGGAAGCTGGTGCTCCAATCGCACAATTTCTCGGGAAGCCTATAGGAAGGGAGCTTCGAAAGAAGCGCTTTGTACTAAACCCGATCGAAGGTCTTCGCAATTTCCAAACTAACGGCGAACGCCTCCCGTTGGCGGACTTCACGTGTCTTCGAAATATTTCCTTAAATACTACAGGACTTGAACGTTTTCTCACGATGTTTTCCTTCAACGTCGGGCACGTGGTAAATCAGCACTTAAAATTGCAATTAAAAATCTCCTCGGCTTTGGTGGGGATTGAATATTGGTTTCTCGCTCGCGTAGGTACTATTAAAATCATAGAACAGCGAGCGCTCACCCCCAAAGCTATCACAGTTCTCGATGCTTATGATTTGTTTCTCATTATATTTTGAAAGAGTCTATCGTCACAAAGGTGATAAATAGCTTAAAGGAACCTTATAAAGTTTCACATTAATTTAATACTCACCTTAACTGCGCCGTACACTACTTCGATGAGACTCTTGACTTCCGCCTCTAGGATTCTAAGAAACTTGGACACATTCCACCTGGTCACCTCCTTGTGATTGCCCAGCAGTGTAAGCAGTGGAGTGCAGTCGCATCTGGCCAGTCTAATACGAAGATACACAGTTTTAAGACTTTGGGCTGATTTATAGCTGGGCATCTAATAGTCATGCTGTAAGAGACATATGTCTTTTTATAAGCGCGAAGATTTATTTATAATGTTTATTTTAAATATTTTAAAAGAAACTGTCTCTTTTTTTCTTTCCATAATATGGCGGTAGAATAGACTATACAGGGTTATTTTGCAATAACCAGCCAAATTAGCAGAGAAAGTTCAGAATAAGTAATATAGGCAAATGGTGAAGAAAAATTTATTAAAAAAACCTCAAACATTGTCATTTTTATCTTTTAAATTCAAAATACGTGGTAATGCATTATTTTAACGGATTGTCATTCATAAATATCTAATGCCTACTATTTTACTACGCACGCACACATTCGTAAGGGTAAATCGATCGGCAAAAACTTTGTGAATTGAATTGCACACAAAGGAGCTCGCGTACGCGTAGTTGTTGTCCATAAATCACATTCAATTTGAGTAATTCCAAATAATAGTAGAAGCCATATTTACTCGTATTTTCAATAATTAAAAATTAAAAATTTTGTACAACCGACTTCAATATAAATTATTAAGAATAATTCAAAATTTATTGGTCAGATAATCAATTTATATGGGACCACATGTGAAGCACCAGCTCTCAAATAAAACAGAATCATCGAAATCAGTCTACCTAGTAAAAAGTTATGAGGTAACACACATAAAAATACATACAGTCTAAGTGAGTACCGTCTCCTTTTTAAGTCGATAGAAAACTGCAATAACGGTATATCATTATTTATATATTTGAACTTAAGTTTAAAATTGGGTACTCTTTCAAAAATAACCCTCTGTACAGGGTTATTTTTCAATTTTTATACAGGGTTACTTTAGCTCTCTAGCATGGTGTCCAGCATGTCATCACTTTAAAGCTTCAAACAAAAAAGGCTACAGATGCGTCGATGTCTTTGAGGACTATGATGGAATTCTTCACAGCCTGTTATTATATAGCTTACAATTTACATAACAGTGAATGCAATATTGCTTGGCTAAATAGGTAATAGCGGGCTAGCGGGTCCACACAGCATAGATATACGCTGTGCAAATGTTGTGCGTGCGAATGTCTGTAAGAGCTATGTCGTCCACCCAGTACAGTCAAGTCAGTTGTTCTTTGATCTCGTGGTGTGTCGATTACGAATGATAACAGGACAGGAATATAGGTTTACAAATATGTGCACAAGCATAGGTGCACTCTGTATTCCCTCACTCTCATAGTCCGATGGCACAGCAAGCCGAAACAACCTGAGCGAGCTCTGGCGTAGGACCAACGGCTTAACGTGCTTACCGAGGCACTAAAAGGCAATAAATAGTACAATTTTATACCAGGATTTAAAAAATGCCTTAGTCGACAAGGCAAAACAAACACCCTAGATGGAAGTTTATCGACCGAATTGGCAATAAGTATAAAGAAATTTTGTTTATTATTTATTAATTTCTTACAATTTAATAGGAGTGACGAACAAGCAGACAGTGCACCTCATGGTAAGTGGATGCTGTAGCTCGTAGACATCTACATCCATTCCTGATTGAGAACAATAATTCAGATGCTTTGTCACTCCTGAGGATTAAGATGGAATGCGTCGTTTCCAATCAAAAGGATCTCCGCTTCTCTACACGAAACACAGCAGCATTAAGTTACTATTTTACGTTGGTATTCTGTGAAAGTATGGTCCTTCCCCAGTCAAGCTGACCTATTCGATCTACAACTACACACATATAGCTGCAGTATGATTCTACTAAATATATGAAAATGAGCTAAATTAAGAGTAGCCGTAATCGACGAGCGTGGAGCGTAATCGACGAGCGTGGTACATGGATGTGAAAGAAGAGAGATGTGACAGGATCGTGCCAAATAGAATTCCACCTCTCTGGCTAAGAGGCGGAAGAGCTTATATACGTTTGTATGTAAATTTTCACCTCACTAAGTCATCAATTCCTTTGAGAACTTTTATAATGGTGGCGTCCGCGTTAGCGTTTCTCTCTGCAGTCTGCTGGGTGAGACGCCGTTGCCCATCCAAACTTATCTTCAGCTCCGTCAATTGTTTCTCTTGTTTCTCTTCGCGTGCTTCGTTGAAGTCGCGTTGGTCCACTTATTTTTTTAAAATAACGGTAAATTAAAGTAAGGGTGAGTGAGAGTCGTTACTACGAGGGTAAGCGCTCGCTGTTAATATCACACGGGTCAGCCAACACGGGTTCAATCTCAATTTTAAGTGCTGATTTACACACAATATGTTTTTTAGAACATTAGCATTTCACTTGTTTTTACTATTTGAATACCATTCCAAGATTCCTGATTGCTTTTATGTTTATGCTGCATGAGCTGCAGCTATCTTGATAGCATACTTGTAACAGGAAAAGGTCGGCTCGACCGGAGAAGGACCATGCTCTCACAGAATACCATACAGCTTAACGCTGCTGTGTTTCGTATGGTGAGTATAGACAACCCGTAACCCTTTCTTAATGGAAACGAAGCATTCCATCTTAGTCCTCATGGGTGACAACGCATCTGCAATTTGATTCGTAATCGAGAATAGATGTACCTAGATGTGCTACAGCAACCATTTACCATCAGGTGGACTGTGTGTTCGTTTGTCACCCTTATCCTATAATGTATATAATGCAATATGCTTCTTAGAACACCTTTTTTATAGTATAAGGGTGATAATCGAGCACACAGTTCACAATGAATGAAAAAAATCTAACGGAGTCTACCCGGTACAGGGGAGTCCTTTCTATAAATCCTGCATGGAAAGAAAATGGCCGCGAATATATATTAGCCGAAGATATACTAGCGGCAAATTTACGTGGTCAGCTCAACCGATATAGACCTTCTGTCATTTCTGGGTGGGTTCTGGGATAGGAAGCGTCTGCTGCGCTATATATATGTGTATATATATCTCATTGTAGAAGCGTGCTCGTCGCGACCCCTGCCAGCCCTTTTCAGGGCTGCTATTCTACTAGCTGCGCACCCATGACAACGAGGGTTAGGGCGTCCCCCCAAGGCGACGCACACCAGCTCGTCCCCGTTGGTGTGAAATGCAGCGCGCAAAGCGGCGATGGGGACCGCCACCCGTCACGCACAGCCCGACACGGCGGAAGGTGGAGGACAGAGTGCAGAGTTGGCACGTGGAATGTTAGAGGAGGCAATAAGAGATAAGACGAATGAGTTGATCGAAATAATGAAAGAAAGAGAATTAGATGTCGTGTGTATGTCGGAGACCAAGCGGAAGGGCAGTGGTACTGAAGAGCTCCCTGGCGGGGCGTTAGCTCTATGGTCCGGAGTCCCGGAGAGCGAGAGCGCCTGCCAGGGAGTGGGGGTGCTGCTGTCTTCTCGGTTGGTCGATGTTATGACTGAATATAAGGTTGTGAACTCAAGACTTCTCTGGGTTCGCTTTAAATTGGGACTGACGAAGTTATTCCTTTTGGCTGTTTATGCGCCGGTAGCTTCGTCGTCCAGGGCTGAGCTGGAGGAGTTTTGGGAGAATGTAAGAGAAGTTCTAGATTTGGTTAGGGGAAACGAAAGAATTTTTGTATGTGGTGATTTGAATGGATGGGTTGGTACCGCTCGACCAGGGTACGAGTCGGTACTTGGAAAGTTTGGCGATAAAAGGGTTAATGATGCTGGCCAGCTTATACTGGCGGTGTACAAGGAAAAGGGTATTCTTGTGACAAACACTATGTTTAATAACAAGAAAATCCATATGTATACTAGAGAACGAAAGAATGAGAGAAGTATGATCGATTTGTTCCTGGTGGATGACCGACTGCGAAAACAGGTGATGGATACGCGAGTGTTCAGGGGTGCTGACCTGGGAACGGATCACTATCTAGTGATTACTAGATTTAGGGGTCTGTTCGCGGGTTGGCGCTACCGGACGGCAGTAACAGAACCACAGTCGGTCTGTCGCATCCGAAGCTGGAAGCTTCAGGAAGCGGATACTAGGGACAAATATCATGCGAGGGTAGCCGAAAAGCTTGACTCCATCGATGGCAGAAAAGAATGTGTAGAAAGAACATGGCAGAACCTTAGGGATGGAATGGTAAGTGCAGCGGAAGAAGTGTGTGGAACAATAAAAAGAGGCAGTAGTAAAAGAAGAGATGCATGGTGGAATGATGAAGTGAAAGAAGCTGTAAAGAAGAAGAAGAAAGCATGGTTAGACTACTTGGCCTCTAGTAATGATAAGGATATGACAGAGAAGATGAAAGAAAGATATAGGCTGCAGATAGTTCACACGAAAGCACTGATTGAGGAAGTGCGTGAAAGGTGTAGAATGGAAGCGGACGAAAGGTTGTCGCACAACTTTAAGGAGAACTCCAAACTCTTCTGGAAAGAGGTTGGAAGGGCCCGAAGTGGTGCGACGGCCTTAGGAATGAACAAAGTGCTTTCGAGAACTAATGACGTCCTATCAGAAAAATCGGACGTCATGCAGCGATGGAGCGAATTTCATAGAGAAATGTATGCGTGTGATGATCTTAGTGAGGGATCCGGGGATGACGCCGTGACTGGTACGCCAGACCCGGACCTCGATGACACTGAGGTCATCAGTATGAAAGAGATTGAACGTGCGATTCGAAGTTTGAAATGTGGTAAGGCTGCGGGACTAGACAGAGTTACTGCTGAAATGGTCAAGTATGGTGGGCCTCGCGTCTGGGACAGCTTTCGTCTGCTGTGCAATTTGTGCTGGCGGACAGGGGATGTCCCGGATGATTGGCGATCCGCAGTCATTGTGCCTTTATATAAAGGTAAAGGTTCACATTTTGACTGCGGGTGCTATCGGGCGATCAGCTTGACCAGTTTAGCAAGTAAAGTTTACTCGAAGGTTTTGACACGTAGGATGCAAGAGAAATTGGAAAGATTTCTATGGGAGGCACAATGCGGATTTAGACCTGGAAGAGGATGCACGGATCAAATGTTTTCTCTCCGCATGATCACGGAAAAGCTTCTGGCTGCTAACCAGAAGATTTTCTGTGCTTTTGTGGATCTTGAGAAAGCATTTGATAAGGTTGTAAGGAAGAAAATGTGGGAACTGTTGCCGGGGTATGGTGTGGCTGGTCAATTGCTAAGGGCTGTGCAGTCTCTTTACTGTGACTGTAAAGTCTGTGTGCGGGTAGGGCATGACCTGTCACCCATGTTTAACGTCCAAACGGGCGTAAAGCAGGGTTGTGTCATGTCTTCCTGGCTGTTCATACTGTATCTCGACAGCTGTTTACAGAAGCTGAAAGATAGTTGTTTGGGTGTGAAATTGGGTGACATTAAAGTAAATTGTCTGCTGTATGCTGATGATGCAGTGCTTATTGCACCGTCAGAGGCAGAACTGCAGGCATTAGTCACGTGTATGAAAGAGGAATGTGAAATTAAAGGTCTCCGTTTGAATGCTAATAAAACTAAGGTTCTGGTATTTGAAAGGGACGAAGAGAGAACGAAGTGTGAAATATGGGTAAATCAGGAATGTCTAGAACAGGTAAATGAAATTGTATACTTGGGGAGTGCTTTTAGCCGGGATGGAAGATGTGATTTAGATGTGGACAGGCGTGTCGCTGCCGGGAACAAAGTCAATGGTGCCCTGGCTGCGTTAGTCAAAAGGCAAGGCGTAGCGAAGAGTGCACGCCTTGCAATACATAACGCAGTGTTGGTACCGACTTTGTTATATGGCAGCGAAACCTGGGTATGCCAGAAGAAGCATAAAAGTAAGTTGAATGCAGTGGAGATGCGATCTCTTCGTAAAATGTGCGGCGTTACCATGGCCGACCGAAAGCGAAACGAAGAGATTCGCAATATGGCAGGTTTGAAAGATGACCTTATCACAAAAATTGATAAGGGCGTGCTTCGGTGGTTTGGGCACGTTGAGCGAATGAGTGAAGACCGAATGGTGAAGAAAATATATAGCGCGAAAGTTAATATTAAAAGGTGTCGAGGTAGACCGAGACTAACTTTCGAAGACCATGTGAGCAAATTGCTCGAAGAGGGTAGGGTCAAAAGTACTCGGATACTTAGACGTGCATGCATGAAGAAGATAATGAATCTGAAAGAAGCGAAAGAGGTATGTAAGGATCGTGACACTTGGCGATCTGTTCTCTCTGGCTACCCCGTCAGGGATTGTGCGTGAAGATATGTATATATATATATATATATATATATATATATATATATATATATATATATATATATATATATATATATATATATATATAATAAACGAACAAAATATATTTTATTACTAGCGATCCGTCCCGGCTGCGCACGGGTGGTTTCTGGATCTCGACAACAGTGCCACACGGACAGCAATTGATTTTTATATATACATTACATACATACATACATATAATCACGCCTCTTTCCCGTAGGGGTAGGCAGAAACCACTTCTTTCCACTTGCTACGATCCTTACATACTTGTTTTGTTTCGTCCACTTTCATTATTCCCTTCATACATGCTCTACGGTTTAGGATACTCTTGACCTGGCCTTATATACATTAGAAGATATATAATTGTTATAATAATTATTTTTATTTGATTTTAACATAAAAGTAATGTTGCCTAGTGTGAGGACCACAGAATTACACACCCTATGATAGTTGGTCTTATCACACAAACTAAGCTGACGTGTATAGATATTATACACGTCAGCTTAGTTTGTGTGATAAGACCAACTTATCGTAGCATTTTATATTTTTATCCGTACCAACTTTTGCTGTGTAATTTTTTTTATTCATATTAATTTTTCACTTTATATGTAGCCAATTTCTATACGTATATTCTACAATAGTTAACGTAAGCACCACTCACGTATACGTTGCCGTAAAGTTTCCAACTCCCTCCGCATAATGATGGCCTCCTGCAGTACTTCGCACAGCAGTACAAACACCGAGAAGTTCTGCATCTCAGTGGCGTTGAAATTGTTTATAATAGTTCCAACTCTGTCAGACCCGGCATAGCCCTTTAAAGTATGTTTTAATGCTGCAGTATTAGGTATGTGAAGAGTACAAAATACTTAAATGAGGTAGCAGTCTATTTATATTTTTTGTAGTGAAACTTCATTATAGACGTAGTGGAGAAATTTAGTACTATATTAAAAATAATGAACGTCACTTTTTCTTGTAACCTTTCATCGCCGGGGCTGCATGAATATTATTTAACTTACTTAAGGGCCTATACTACCTCAAATGGCTTAGCATGATCCTCCTTTATGCGGAAAACACTGCAGCATTAATTTTGAAATAAATATACGGTGAAGTTGAGGATTAATGTTAAGTACTATCTTACACGAAAACACGATTGCATAAAATTTTCTCGATAGAAAAAAAATCTTTATGCTCGTCCGATAATAGTTTGTTTTACTCTAACAAAATCGCTTTGACCTCGTGTTCCCGCGTGACCACAAGCCGTAGTGTGCGAACGAATGGCGCGGGGAAGTGGGGGCGAAATTAGAATTTGAGTTGAGGTAATATAGGCCCTTAAGTAAAATATAAAATAAAAGAAGAATGGTATTCATAAAGAAGTTTCATTTCGGATGTGTGTACACAAATACACGTACAATTTTTTATTTAATAATTGTATTACATGTGATATGAGTTACTTTTCAAAGAGTAGCCAAATTTTAAACTTAAGTTCAAATATATAAATAATGATATACAGTTATTGCAGTTTTTGAAAATACGAGTAAATAAGGCTTCTGCTTTTATTTGAAATTATCCCAAATTGAATGTGATTTATGGGCAACAACTATGCTCCTCTATGTGCGTTTCAATTCACAACGTTTTTGCCAACGGATCGACCCTTACGAATGTATGCGAGGCGTAGTAAAATAATAGGCGTTAGATATTTATGAATAACAATCAGTCATAATAATGCATTCCAACGCATTTTGAATGTAAAAGATAAAAAGGACAGAGTTTTTAAGATATTTTTAAATAATTTTTCTTCACCAATTGCCTATATTACTTATTCTGAATCTTCTCTGCAAATTTGGCCGGTTATTGTAAAATAACCCTGTATAAATATTAAACAGCACAAACATACACGTGTACCATTTCAGGTATAGCAACATGGAAAGGGAGGAGGCAGAAATCTAAAGCGTTTTACCTTTTAAGTACTTACTCATTAACGGTACAATAAGCTTTAATAGTTTTTAATCTTTTTCTTTAATAAAATGTTACACGAGAGTTTTCTCTTGTATCATGGAGGCAATTTACAAACATAAATTGCACAAGGACAAACATCCACACCCGGAACAGTTATTAGTAGACCATATAAATACTTGTTCCGTACAGGATTCGAATCCGCGGCCTTTAGCACTGCAGCTCATTGCTAAGCCACTGGGCCACGAAACCTTCAGTTGTCAGTCAATGAAATAAATAATAATGATTTAATAACTAACGAATATCTCTTCTAACAGAGCATCGTGCCTGGAGATCTCTTGCTCGCACCGATGAATTTCCTCTTGTCTCTTTATTTCCTCCTTCTCGTCTGCTTCGCAAATTCTCCGCGAGCCTTTGACCCTGAGGAATTCTTCTAATTTGGCCAAATGGTTTAATTCGCCTTCGAATGCTTGCATTTCCTTTTTGTTGGACAAGATGATAAGTTAGAATGGGGTCGATAAGAATGTGATCTCCTTCCAGAATTTTGGAAATATTTTTTCTTTATAGAATATAGGGGCGATAAACAAGAACACAGTCCACCTGATGGTAAGTGGATGCTATGTTCCATAGACATTTAAACTAAATACATACACCCTTGATTAAAAATTAAAATGTAAATGCGTTGTCACCCCTGAGGACTAAGGTGATATCTCGTTTCCAGTAAAATGGGTTTCCAGATCTCAAAATTCGGATCACTAAATAAGTTTAAATTCTTTTCAGAGGTTTCAGAGTTTATTTATTTAGGTAATAATATTTGGGATACAAATTTTACAGTAATTTTAATAATATATTAAAATAATTTTACAATATTATATTTTATATATTTAACTGAAGTGACAAACGAGCTTAAACATGGTAAATGGCTACTGCAGTCCTTGGACTTCTGAAACCAACTTCAATCAAACTGCAAATGAGTTACCACTCCACAAGCTTGGAATGCCTCGTTACCGTACCAGTAAAGGAATCTTCAGTTCTTTTTACTCATCGTACGGAAAGAGCAGCATTATGTTATTATTTTACGTTGGTATTTTGTGATAGCTTGGTTCTTCCCCAGTCAAGTCAATCCATTTGGGCTGCACCGATAAGACAATGTAGCGTGGCTTTACCATGTAAAATATCTGTCACACAAAATATAAAATTTTCATGTGTTTTTTTTTTTAATAGAATAAGGGTAACAAACGAGCACATAGTCCACCTGATCGTAAATGGATGCTGTGACCCATAGACATATACATCTATCCCCGATTAAGAATCAAAATGGCGATGTACTATCGCCTCTGAGGACTAAGACGGAATGCCTCATTTCTAGTAAACATGGTCTCCGGCTCTCTACACTCACCATACGAAACACAGCAGCACTTCCCCGGCCAAGCTGACCCATTCGTATTACTACCATATAGCTGCAGCAAGTAGTAAATTTTTAACCAAAAGAGTTTTAACTGCATTTAGGATGCATGCAGAAAATAAGTTTGTAATTCTTTACCAGATCAAGGGAAATAAGTCATAAAGAATGAATATGAAATAAAAACTAAAAAAAATCCCTGACCGAAATATCCCTGTTTAGCTGGAACATTCCCTTCCACTTGAGAGCCTCGAGCTTCCTGCAGCACTCGTCTCGGTTGCTGAAAGCGGCGCTTGCGATTTCCAAAATATCCATTAAATACTCCTTGCCCTTCACCAGCCTCCCGATTGTGCGGTTCCATTGGATATTGAAGTCGTTTCTGCCAAACGCCATGATATCTTTACATATAAAATAAAATTAGTGTTTGCCTGTAATAGCGAAATAACTGCCTTTTATTGAGCTCAGTAAATTATTTGCATGCCAGACATGAACAACCATATTTTTTTTAATTTTTGTCTGTCTGTAGCTGTCTGTCCCTCTGTCCGGGCTAATCTTTGGAATGGCTTACTCGATTGTGATGAAACTATACAAACAGATAGAGAGAAATGCCAGGAGTTTTAACGCAATTAATTAAAATAATAGTATTAGTTGGGCAATAATATTTTTTGGTTATAATTTACAAAATTTAAATTTACAAAATGGTGTCGGTCAGCCCAGTGAGCCTTTAAAAAGGCTAATTAATGCTGCCGGCACTATATAGACTAATACGTGAACATTATATTTGATTAAAGAGATGTTAGCTATACAACAGAACTCAGTTGATCTTTAAAAATGTCCGCATTACATTGATTCACCTTTATGTTATTTAGCAGTATTAGGCTTATTTTTATTATTACTTACAACTTAAAAGTACTATTACACAACAAACGGTACTAAAACATCTCAAAGCTGTATGACGTATTTACGGTGCATTATATTGGTAAAGTTTATGCTATTAATAAGCATTGGGCATTATCTTACTACTTCAAAATGCTACGAGGGCTGCACTAAAAGTATCAGGAATAGAATATTTTCACTGTTCCTGTCATATTAAATGTTTTTTAATTGAAAAGTCCTTGGTTTTAAAAATCGAATACCATTTATTTATTTAAAAAAAGATTCTCGGTCTTGTCACAAGGTTTTGTGAAACTTGTTTAGTCGTTGAGAAAATGGAATTGACTCGAGAAAATTCAAGAGCGATGATTTATTATGACTTTCGAAGTGATTTAACACAAAAACAGTGTGTTGACCGGATGATTTCAGCATTTGGGGATGAAGCCCCATCCAAAACCACAATTTATCGCTGGTTTGCTGAATTTCAACGTGGACGTGTCAAGCTCAGTGATGATTCCCGTTAAGGTCGTCCAAAAACTGCAGTCACCCAAGAAAACGTTGATGCTGTGCGTAAGCTGACTGAGGAAGATCGACATGTGACATACCGCGATATTCAGGCAACTTTAGACATAGACATGAGTCAAATACAAATAATCTTGCATGAACAATTAGGTTTAAAAAAGTTGTTTTCCCGATGGATACCGCATTCGCTCGGTGAAGAGCAAAAAGCGGCTCGCGTTACTTGGTGCGTCAGAACTCTCGAAAGATTCCATGCAGGATCCTCAAATGCTGTATACAACATCGTATCAGGTGACGAATCCTGGATATACGCGTAAGAACCCGAAACAAAAAACCAGTCACGAGTATGGGTGTTCAAAAATGAGTTAAAGCCAACAAAAATTGTTCGTTCACGGAGTGTTGCAAAAAAAATGGTGGCCACGTTTGTCTCCAAAACCGGCCATGTTACGACTATTCCTCTTGAGGGACAAAGAACGGTTAATGCAGAATGGTATGCTAGCATTTGTTTGCCACAGGTCGTTTCTGAACTCCGTAAAGAGAACTGCAACCGCCGCATCATCCTCCATCACGACAATGCGAGTTATCACACCGCACACAGAACAAAAGAGTTTTTAGAGCAAGAAAACATAGAATTATTAGACCATCCGCCGTACAGCCCCGACCTAGGCCCTAATGATTTCTATACTTTCCCTAAAATAAAGAATAAATTGCGTGGACAGAGATTTTCATCACCTGAAGAAGCTGTGGACGCCTACAAAACGGCCATTTTGGAGACCCCAACTTCCGAATGGAATGGTTGCTTTAATGATTGGTTCCATCGTATGGAAAAATGTGTCGAATTTCGCGGAGAATACTTCGAAAAGCAATAAATACATTTTTAAATAGTAATGTTGTGTCACTTCCTTGATTCCCGAAATTTTCAGTGCCGCCCTCGTATTGTAGATCCAAATGCACTATTTTTAGCTGTTTTCAGCTCAAAGCTGTCAAGCTGCGTTGCGGTTTGCTGCACTAAAACTAAAGCTCTATAAAGATAGCAGTGAAAAGTCAGCAGAAACATAAAAATTGTATCCAGGAATTTGTAGCTAATTTGTTGCTAATTAGTTACCAAAATCGCAGTAAAAACTTTAAATCAACCCCGCCGTAGCGAATAAAACGGGATAATTTGTTGCTAATTAGTTGCTGACATATAATGCAAAAAAATATAAAAAAAATTAAAATTTTAAAAATATCTAAAATTAAAAAAAAACATCAAAAATTAATAAAAATCTATTTATGTTTTGATACTGATTCTGAAGTTCCAAATTAATGAAAATTTTGCTGCTAATTAATAAATAGATCAATAACTCCCAGACAGCCTACAACAGCATAAAATCGGTCGAAAAGCTGTATCAAGTAATAAGTTACAAATAAATGTGTACATGCAGCCTATACGGGAGATTCAAAAACAGAACAACAGATATATTGTTGCTGTTCAGTTATGAAAGCATAAAGAGCCAGCAACAAAAAAGAACAAAATAGATCGATAAGCTGCACCAAGTATTAAGTTAGTAATTATTTGTGTACAAGTTATATTTTTATGAAAGTTTTAGGAAAAATATAGCAGATATTTTGTTGCTAGCCAGTAATGGAAGCAGCAAGTCATAAAGAACCAGCAAAAAATAAAATAGATCGATAAGTTGCACCACGTTATTAATAAGAAATTATTTGTTTACAAGTTAAATTTTTATGAAAATTTTAGAGAAAAATATATCAGATCTTTTGTTGCTAGCCAGTAATTGAAGCAGCAAGTCATAAAGAGCCAGAAACAAAATAAAATAGATAGATAAGCTGCACCAAGTAATAAGTTAATAATTATTTGTGAACATGCAATATTTACATTAAAATTTTGGAAAAAAAGGTAGCAGATATTTTGTTGCTGGTCAGTAACGGAAGCAGCAACTCATAAAGAGCCAGCAACAAAATAAAATAAATCGATAAGTTGCACAATGTTATAAGTTAGTAATTAATTGTGTACATGCTATATTTCTATGAAAATTTTAGAAAAAAAGGTAGCTGATATTTTGTTTCTGGTCAGTAACGGAAGCAGCAAGTCATAAACAGACAGCAACAAAATAAAATCGATCGATAAGCTGCACCAAGTAATAAGTTAATAATTATTTGTGTACGAGCTATATTTTAATGAAAATTTTAGGAGAAAAGTTAGTAGATATTTTGTTGCTGGTAAGTAACGGAAGCAGGAACTCATGAAGAACTAGCAACAAAATAAAATAGTTCGATAAGTTGCATTACGTTATTAGTTAGAAATTATTTATGTATATGCTATATTTTAATGAAAATTTTAGGAAAAAAGCAGATATTTTATTGCTGGTCAGTTACGGAAGCAGCAACTCGTATAGAGCCAGCAACAAAATAAAGTTGATCGATAGGCTGCACCAACTAATAAGTTAATAATTATTTGTGTACATGCTATATTTACATGAAAATTACAGGAAAAAAGATAGTAGATATTTTGTTGCTGGTCAGTAACGGAAGCAGCAACCCATAAGGAGCCAGCAACAAAATAAAATAAATCAATAAGTTGCACCACGTTATAATTTAGTAATTAATTGTGTACATGCTATATTTTTATGAAAATTTTAGGAAAAAGGTAGCAGATATTTTGTTGCTGGTCAGTTCTAGAAGCTCTAGAAGCAAGTCATAAAGAGCAAGCAACAAAATAAAATCGATCGAGAAATTGCAAGTTAATAATTATTTGTTTACGAGCTATATTTACATGAAAATTATAGGAAAAAAGATAGTAGATATTTTGTTGCTGGTCAGTGACGGAAGCAGCAACTCATCTAGAGCTAGCAACAAAATAAAATAGATCGAGAAGTTGCACCACGTTATTAGTTAGTAATTATTTGTGGACATGCTATTTTTCTATGAAAGTTTTAGAAAAAAAATGTAGCAGATATTTTGTTGCTGGTCAGTAACGGTAGCAGGAACTCATAAAGAGACAGCAACAAAATAAAATAGATCGCCAAGTTGCATTACGTTATTAGTTAGAAATTATTTATGTACATGCTATATTTTAATGAAAATTTTAGTAGATAGTAGATATTTTGTTGCTGGTTCTTAATGAGTTGCTGCTTCCGTTACTGACCAGCAATAAAATATCTACCATCTTTTTTCCTATAATTTTCATGTAAATATAGCTTGTACACAAATAACAATTAACTTAATAGTTGGTGCAGCCTATCGATCAATTTTATTTTGTTGCTGGCTCTATACGAGTTGCTGCTTCCGTAACTGACCAGCAACAAAATATCTGCTATATATTTCCCTAAAATTTTTCATAAAAATATAACTTGTAAACAAATAATTTCTAACTAATAACGTGGTGCAACTTATCAATCTATTTTATTTTTTGCTGGCTCTTTATGACTTGCTGCTTCCATTACTGGCTAGCAACAATATATCTGCTATATTTTTCCTAAAATTTTCATAAAAATATTACTTGTAAACCAATAATTACTAATTTAATTCTTGGTGCAGCTTATTGATCGATTTTACTTTGTTGCTGGTTCTTTGTGACATACTGCTTCCGTTACTGACCGGCGACAAAATATCTGCTATAATTTTTTCTAAAATTTTCATGATATAAGCTTGTACACATATAATTTTATTAACTTATTACTTGGTGCAGCTTATGGATCTATTTTATTTTGTTGCTGGCTCTTTATGCTTTCATAACTGAACAGTAACAATATATCTGTTGTTCTGTTTTTGAATCTCCCGTATAGACAGCATGTATTTATTTGTAACTTATTACTTGATACAGCTTTTCGACCGATTTTATGTTGTTGTAGGCTGTCTGGGAGTTATTAATCTATTTATTAATTAGCAGCAAAATTTTCATTAATTTGGAACTTCAGTATCAAAACATAAATTGATTTCTATTAATTTTTTTTTTTAATTTTAGATTTTTTTAATTTTATTTTATTTTATATTTTTTTGCATTATATGTCAGCAACTAATTAGCGGTTAGAGCAACAAAATCACGATTTTGGTAACTAATTAGCAACAAATTAGCTACAGATTCCTGGATACAATTTTTATGTTTCTGCTGACTTTTCACTGCTATCTTTATAGAGCTAAAACTAAAGGCTTTACAAAAGCATTTTCATATGCCATTATTCAACCGTTATACAGTGTAAAGCATCATAATGGTTTTGAAATGCTAATATAAAGCGTCAAGATGCTTGGTGAACTTATATGAGTTTATACGAGTCTCAAGTTCTACATAAGCTTGCTATTGGTTTGTTATAATGCTTCCTGTGTTACTTAGGTAGTGTTCGCGTAAATAAAAGAAATCATTATAAGAAGTATCAGTTTACAAATCAATTTCACAAACGTGAAACAACATTGAGGCTACAAGTTATGCAATATTGCACTGCGTTGCGCGATGTAGACGTCAACTTGAGGGCTATACAATTGCAGCTATAATTGTCACAAAACTGGCCCGTTGACGAGCACTTTAAAGCTCCGGCTATAGATTTTACAGTCCGCGAGTATTCCAGGTGCCATGATCGCTGGCAACGAAATTGATAATGGCAGTTTTGAGAGCTGACTTACTAAGACAATGAAGGAAAACATTGTGAGGAAAGAGAAATAAAAAAAGCATACATTTCGAAGTGAAACCAAACGCTATGCATTGCCGCGGATACTACCTTGCTCCAAATCTCACTTAGAAGTTAGAAGAGGCTTGTACCCAAGACGTATATAACTTTCCTTCTTTATTTTTAACTAAATGTCAATATTCTATACTACGCTACCATCACGCGATGATCATAAACTTTTTTTTGATAGAATAAGAATGACAAACCAGCTTTTACAGGCCACCTGATATTAAGTAGATATTGTGGCTCATACACAGGTACATCTATCCTCGATTAAAAATAAAAATGCAGATGCGTCGTCACCCCTGAGAACTAAGATAGAAGGCCTTGTTTCCAATAAAAAGGGTCTCTGGTTCGCTACACTTACCATACGAAACACGGGAGTATAGGTCTGCGTTTCCACCAGAGATGTGCGAGATATCTAGGTGGTGTGAGGATACGTAGCGAGGCTGTGGAACGGTGTGATCATTTCCACCAGAAATGTGATAGGTCGCTGAGCTCGCACACAACCCTCGAACACATCCCTCACAACACATATTTTGCACACATTCTTATATTTTTTTCTACCGACTTCCAAAAAGGAGACGGTACTCAATTCGACTGTATGTTTTTTTTTAGTGTGTTACCTCATAACTTTTTACTGGGTGAATCGATTTCGATGATTCTTTTTTTATTTGAAAGCCTATATATATCTTTTTATATAGTTTTTGAGTTATTCGTAATAATTTATATTGAAGTCGGTTGTACAAAATTTTTAATTTTATATTATGTATGTACAAAAACCTCGCTACGCTGAGCCGTTTTCACTAGAGCTGAGTTGAGCGAGGCTAGGTAAATGAAGTGATGCTATTGGTTCTTAACAAACACATCCCTCGATACGCATTCTCGCACATCTTTGGTGGAAAAGCAGCCTTAAGCTGTTATTTTAGGCTGATATTCCGTAAGAGTATGAACTGGTTGAACCGACCCATTTGTGCGACAACCATAAATACAGCTGCAGCATGGCTGCAACTAAGTGAAATTTTTATAATTATTAATAAACGAACCTCTCAACAAGAAGTCTGTTGATCTCCTCTCGAACACTTTTATTGTCCGAATTAACAACACAGAACCGCTTGGTGGCCAAATCCAGGCGATTCTCCATGCGACGAAGGCGGTTGTTTGCATTCTCTATCATCGCCAATTCCTATATTATAGGCAAAGATATTTAAAAGACCGAGATTATATGATTATACATACCCCATTTATCACCATATTAATAATTATTTTATTTATAAAGAAACAGTGGATAACGAAGTAGATATGATGATTAAATTCTCATTATTGTGGCACCGAGGCTGTAATTTAGCTTAGGCCTATTTTTTATTTAATGTTGGCAAAAAAAATTACTTCGCGTACATCCGCTCGATAAAATAAAATGATGTGTCTTACCTAGTTTGAAGAGCACCTCCCGCCGATAGTCTATCCCCGTCACCACTAATCCCAACACCACTACTCCCAACACCACTACACTAGGAAAGACACACCACTGACGAAAATACGACACGTGTTTCGCCTCTACACAAGGCATCTTCAGGTGATCTAGACTCTGCGGTGGCTGACCGCTTGACTTAGCAGAGGTCAATAGAGGGAGGGCGGGAGGTGCTCTTCAAACTAGGTAAGACACATCATTTTATTTTATCGAGCGGACGTACGCGAAGTATTTTTTTTGCCAACTTTAATATAATGTACTTCCGCAAAGTAACGCCTGATTCTATTAATTATTTTTTATTTATTACGCCTGTTACATTATGTTAAAGAAAACTAACAGTTCTAGGACTAAAATGGAATGCCTCGTTACCAGTCAAAAGATCTCTAGTGCTCGTCTCTCTTCCGAAACACAGCAGCAATTTCAAGCTGGCATTGAGCGCAATTTTGTTATATTTTATTTATTAAGCATGGCTTTGAACAAAGAAGGCTACAATGTTATGACTCCTGAGGCCTAATCTAAGGTTCACTAACTCCTAAAGTTTATCATCTCTGAATACACAAGTTTCAGACTTTAAAAGAAAAATAGACGGAAGCACTGCGTTAATTTTAATTGACGCCGAAATCACAGAATAAGTATATTTATTTTATATTTTAAAAACGTTACATCCACACAAGGAATTTCTCCTGTATCGTGGGGGCAGTTTACATATAAATTTCATAAGGACGAATCCGCAGCCCACAGTGCTGCAACTCATTGCTAAGCCACTGCGCCAGAGCGCTGTCAAATAATAGTATTAATACATACCGAAATCATGTTAAGCGTCTCATAAACAAAAGACACAGTCCACCTGATGGTAAGTGAATGCTATGGCCCATAGACTTTATCATCTATTAAGAATCAAAACTCATATACGTTGTCACCCCTAAGAACTAAGACAGAATACCTCCGTATTATTTACCTCGATTTACCTCCAACTACTTCGTCTCCAAATCTCTACACTTACCATACGAAACGCAGTAGCATTATGATGCTACTTCACGCTGGTATTCATTGCTAGCGTGGATCTTCAACACTCGGTTCGTCGCATTCGTGGCGTGACTACCACGTATACATGAGAGTCCACGTAGTATATTAGTCTAAATAATGTGAAAACATTACTTCAGCCTCTGTAGGCACTTGCTTCATTAACTCCACGAGTTGTTTCTGCGCCAGGTAGTTCAGGCAGTCCAACTCCGCTTGCTGAGCGCGCTCGTCGCGAAGCTCCGACTCTTTCGCCTCGTACTCCACGATGGACTTGCGCGTGCCGACCTTGGTTTGGGAGTCGCGAAGAGCGTGCATGCCTTTCCTTGCCAGCTGTAATGAAACTAACAAAGTCAGGAAGCCGACAACTTAAAAACTCAAAGTTAATTTGTTCTAGTTCACTATGAACGCAGAATGTGCAGAACGTGTAGTATATAAGTAATCCATTCATCTGTATCTAATTACCACGTTGGTCTAGTGGTTGTAAATGTGATTGCTGGTCATGAGGTCCCAGGTTCGTTTCCCGGGTCGGGCCAAAATCAGTTAGTGGGTTTTATGTCAAGAAATTATCAGTAGCAGCCCGGAGTTAGGAAGTTAGCGATGTTTCACCCCGTGGCTCGAAAAGCATCTCTCCAGTCATATCGGATTACCGTCCCATCGGACTATGAGAGTGAGGAAATAGAGAGTGCACCTGTGCTTGCGCACACACTAGTGCACTATAATCTTTTTTTTTATAGGATAGGGTGACAAACGAGCACACAGTCCACCTGATGGTAAGTGGTTGCTGTGGCCCATAGACATCTACATTTATCCTCGTTTGCGAATCAAAATACAGATGCGTTGTCACCCGTGAGGACTAAGATGGAATGCCTCTTTTCCAGTAAATACTGCGGTGATTGCTAGTGTCCGCTTAAGACTGGCCGCCGTGACAGAAATTCGGTCTGGAGGACATCTATAACCATACAATAATAGAGAAAAGTGTCTGTTTATAATATTGATATAACTGCCTTCTATTTAACTCCGGAGGTATTTGCATGCTATGAAGATACAAATAACCATGTTTGAAATTTTTGTCTGTCCGGGCTAATTTTTGGAATAGCTGAGCTGATAGTGATGAAACTTCACGAACAGATAGAGAGTAATGTCAGAATAGATCTAGGCTATATTATATACCGAAGAACTTGGAAGTTAGAATGTACTTAGAAAGTTATAAATTATATATATATATATATATATATATAAATTAATTACATAAATTACTAGCTGACCAGGCAGACGTTGTTCTGCCCTTTCTGGCGACTATGTGTCCTAAAAAAAATCATTAAATTCACAATAAAAAAAAATTGAGTGTCACGTATCGGGATAAAAACTATCCTATCTCTCAAGTTGGACCAAACAAGTTATTGTGAAACATTTCATTGAAACCAGTTCAGTAGTTTAGGAGTTCATCGCGGACAAACAATGTGACACGTAATTTTTATATATAAAGATAAATAAATTTCAATAACGCTACGTTAATAAATCCAGGCGAAGCGGGGGCGGAGAAAACTTACTACGTTTTTATGCGTTATAAATTATAATATTGTACCTTTTAATCTAACTCAATAGTTATTTTTAAATTTAATAGGAACGTTTACGCTTGACGACTTATTTTAAACATTAATTAATTTAAATGTAAATAAATAATTAAACTTAATGACACTGGTAATTTGTTCTTTTGGCATACAAAATTGTATCAAACACTTTGGTAATATAAGAGCTTTTATTTCTGCTGAGCTGATCATCATTTATTATAAGCACATGAAGAGTATACTAACATTTATGCATAGTAGCGTCTCCTGTAACTCCTTAGCAAGGATGCCAAGCTGCTTCTCTTGAGGTGCCAGTTGCGGTATACCGCCGGCGCGTTTTTCCACACTACATAGCGGCGCAAGCTTTTGAAACTAAAATACGTAAAAAATATTAGTGACATAATTACGTGGTAGAGTCATGTTGCAGCTATATTACGGTTGTAGCACGAATCCGTCTTATCCTCATGGTGACCACGCTCTCAGAGAATACCAGCGTAAAAGAGCAGATTAATGCTGCTGTGTTTCGTATGGTAAGTGTAGAGAACCGGAGCCCCTTTTTATTGCATACCTGGCATTCCATCTTAATTCTCAAGGGCGACAATGCATCAGCATTTTGAAATGTAGTATATATATATATATATATATATATATATATATATATATATATATATGTCTATGGGCCACAGTATCCAATTAGCATCAGGTGGACTGTGTGCTCGTTTGTAACCCTTATTATATTAAAAAAATAAAATAGTAAGCACAATTTAATTTATGAATAGGTACTCTAGTCCAGCTTTCACTTACCACATTCAGACCCTTTCTAGATAGGTACTTACCAAATCATATACTTATATCTATGGTTTTTATTGTTATAAGTCCTATGTTGGCCTGGGATTTATAGATCTCATTTTTATGTGAGAGTTAAATTAAAAAATAATATTCTAAGTGTGTTATTTGCCGAGCATGTCCTAAAAGGCGACTAATAGGATATTGAGTTTGTGATTGTGTATGTGATGGGCTAGCTTTTTAACACTTCCTTCACAATTTGCCATTAAAGGCCATCTTATTTGGCTTCACGTTGTCCAAGTAACTTGCTACTCTTTGGACTTTGCCTTCTTCTTTGGGGATTACAGGCGTGATGCTGTGTAATGTATGATAATTACTGTTATAATAATAGAATATAATGAATTTTTACAACACTATTTTAATGATATGCTGAGATTTTGATCTAACCTTAGTAATTATAGAATCCCAAACATATGGCAGCACCCAGTCATTTTTTTCTATTGAAATTTAATGGTTTTTTGAAGATAATAAGCCAGTGCTTGGCTATTGTCCCATCTCATGGTGAGTGGTGCTGAAGCCGGCGATGGTAATAGGCACTGATTTAGCTGAAAAGAGCCTATTGACTCTTGCCTTGAACACACCCACATTTTAATCAGATAGATAGATAGATCTTGGCAAATTATTCCACTACTTTGCTGTACGTATTACAAACGACGAAGCAAACTCTTTGGTTTGATGATGTAGTATGTCGACAACAATGGAGCGGCGATTAATCTAGCGTATGGTGCTCCGATTACGGAACGAAGAGGGAGAAATTAAGTCATACAATTCCCGCTCAAACTCTCTGAAATGCCGTGTAGAACACCGAAAGGATTCGTTTTTAACAAATTGATGTCATCAATAAACCCTTAAGCATGCCTTTTCATTGTGTTTAAAGCCGCTAGGTGGCATTTGTCCGCGATCGTTCTTGCGCTTTATGGCATAGTATAAGCAGCTGTCCCGGCTTGAAGTATCACCGTACTTTTACAAGGACACCTTACTTACTGCTATGAACTGCCCAAAGATCGTCATCATGCATAATCATTATTACTTACATTTTACAAATGCCGTAAAAAGAAGAAAGATAGAAAGTAATACAGTGTATTATTATACAGTATATAGTCTAGGCATTTCAGTTTAGTAGGGGATTGTCACCACGAAATAACGATCAAATAACGCAACTGTTCAAACAAATATAATAAGTTACTTGATCCATACCATTCGTTGAACATTACTAAGCTCAGCTTCGGGATCCACCGTCTTCTGCTCGATTTGTGCCGGCATCTTTTAAAATGTTAGTTTTATCCTCTACCACAAATATAAATAAATCAGTGAAAAGTTAAATGCTCATACGTCAAACGTAATTATTCTGTCATCGGAATGTTATTTAACGTCAGTTTGGATTAATTACGAAGAGAACTTTTTGGTGCTTTTTTACCTCTTTCTGTTTATGCTGTTTAAATGAGGGCTAATAATCTTATACTCACCAGATGTCGCTAGTTGGGACCAAGGTGAACTATTTATTACGCAGATGGTCAGACAGTGTCGTCATCATTGAAAAGTTGCGATTTAAGTATAAGTTTTTCGATTTCTAGTGTATGATTATACACAAAACAATGCCTCAGTGCTGTCTGTATTCTTTAATTTTTTACACATTTTTAACTTTTTTTTAATTCTACTACTTTTAGGAATATCAGTAATTTTGATTATTTCTAATATAAATAATCTATACATATAATAAAAATGTAAATAGCAGACGTATACATTTGACGTGAACATTTTATATTTTTGTAATAAAAGTGATTGAGAGATACTAAAACTAAGTAATTAAATACATTTCTACCGTTTTTAGAATTGTCTGTCTGTCTGTCTGTCTGTTTGTGTGTTTGTTAACGTATCACATATAAAGTACTAATTTATATCATGAGAATCGTTAAGGAAATTATAAAGTGTATCTTCGGGTTACATTTAGTCTTCATTTCATTAAAATCAGTTCATTCCATCAAAAGTTATGATAAATATTCTGAAGTATTGGTACGAGGTATATGTACGAATTTGTTCAATGGTGACGTTGATTGAGTCATCAAGTGCATTTTAAATTAATATCATATTATTAATCATAATTAAATGATGTTAAATGATGTTCTATAATGATATAATTATATCTAAAACGCAGTAAACAAAAGTATTAAAGAAAAAGAACGTAATAAGTATATACAAAAATATATTATTAATCTTATTATCTAAGTTTAAAGTACAATAGTTAACCAATATTATCGATAGATGGCGCTGTTGTAAAAATGTAATACAAAAAGGCAGGTTGTGGTTTTTTCCTGTAGATGAGTTTTCATATTTGCTGCTAATATTTATATTAATCGTTGCCCTACTGCGTGTTGACAAGCTCAATTATTCTTTACCGCCGAGTAATCTAATTGGTAAATAAAATTTTAAAAGAGCTATTAACAATTTCGTTGGTTTCGGCTAGGATCAAACTTTCTTTTTTGCGTACTATGCACGCACTGATTTATAAGTGTTTTTATGTTCGGCTAGGATCAAACTTTCTTTTTTGCTTACTATGCACGCACTGATTTATAAGTGTTTTTATGTTTTATATAATGTATCAATTGCGTCAATTAATCTCTTTTATTTTTAGAATTGATGTTAACAGCGCTAGGTATCTCTCTTTAAATCTATACATATAATAAACATGGTGTTAACATGTTGTGTATGTTTATGTACATTGTATAGTAGGTATGTTTGTGACTAAAATCATTATGGGGACTGAAAATCATTAAATAAGTACATTTTTATATCTTTTAGAATTGTCTGTCTGTCGGTCTGTCGGTCTATCTGTTCGATTATGAACGCATAACGTTTTGAGTAAACATCTTTTTTGCAAAGAAATCGTTAAGAAAATCATAAAGCGTATATTCGAGTTCATTTTTAATCTTTGTTTTGCTAAAGTTGGTTAATTCTAAGAAATAGTAATTAAAAGATTCGTGTGTAAAAAAAAACGTTCTATTATAATATATTTAAAAGTTGTATAAATTACAACTTTCTCTGAATTGCGGTGGCGCCCCTTTTTCAATGCCATAATGGCCAACGCTAGTCCCACAGGTGGTGTTTAGTGGGTAGGCACTTCTTCAAAGTAAGTCCCACATAACATCGCTGCCGGCTGCCGTGGTATGCTTGTACGCTTCCAGAGGGTAGCCTCGGTTTGGGCGCAAAAAAAAGAATTGCGGTGTTAAGATTTTTCGCTTTTTTTAATCGTATTGAGACTCACTGAAGAAATTTGTACCCATGAGTACGATGAAGTTGAAAAAGCCGTGTAGGCTAACAGCACAAACATCACCAGAAACCAGAAAATAAACACGCCCACCCAAGCTATGCAACGAAACTCGATTAAAAACTAACAAAATTGCAACAAAATGTCGTGATATTGTTTTTATACCCAGAATCCCTCTAATCCCAAATAACTTCTAACTACGCCCCGGCAGTCTACTTTTAACGTCGTTTACACAGAAGCTCTATCATAAACGACTTAGAACTTTGAGGATAACGATTAATTTTGTTACCACTTATTGATACAGTAATGATATAAGTCGTTTAATATTCTCTTAACTAAACGTCAAATTCTTTAAGTAAAACCTATATACGCGAGCTACGCCGCGGGCACAGCTAGTTTAAAATATAACTAATATTTCAGAAAAATAAAAACATGCGTGAGTGTCGAGGAACACTCGGTTGGAACGTTCCTTTCGTAGTATATTATTATTGATAAACGTATTATATTATTGATTAACGAATACAAATAAATGAATTACTACCTATTAAACTAACTATTAAAATTAAGCGTTATTTAAAATAAAATAATATTTCTTTCATGAAAAGATAAGAAAAAGTGCGAGGGAGATGGATATTATTCCATATCGCTTCCTTCGAAAAATCTTACACTTTTTCTCGCCTAGCCCCCATCCGCCAAATTCGTACCTTCTGATAAGGAACTTTGTTTCATAAAACTTGAATCTATGCTCTTCTAACAAATTAACTTCTCCCGCTATGAAATCTGTCAGAATATCGCAACACACTAAAATAAACAAATTAAAACCGCTTGACACTTAGGTGTAGGGCGGCATCCCACTGGATGGATTGACATCCTGGTAAGAAATGCAGGAATTCAATAGATGCACGGTCCTGAGCCGTGTGTGTACTGTGTATTATGGCATTCCGTGGGGGGGAGGCTGTAAATAACTTCGCATGAATATTATGCTATTTATCGATTTCATGGCGTAGCAAAAAATATGCAGATGGTAGAACCTACCCAACTTCTCAAATTTCAACCTAGTGGAATCAACTACCATCAGCGATTTTTCCGGACCGATACGACTTAGGGACCTTCAAGAAAAGAGGCTACTCCTTTTTAAAAGGCCGGCAACGCATCTGCAATTCCCCTGGTTTTGCAGTTGTTCATGGGCGGCGGTAGTCACTTACCATCAGGTGAGCGGCATACTCGTAAACTGAGGAGATACGACAAAGGGGTTCTTTTTAGCGGTAAACGCGCAAACTTGTGTCTTCTGAGGATTAAACTGGACTAGATTTAGTCGCCCCCAATCCGAGGCTTTGTTCAGCAAAGACTCGACTTCAGACACAAGTTTGTTCCGGTACTCGACGACGTTTTCCCGAGAAATATTGGCACGGCCGGTGTATAGAGCATCACCAGTGCTGTCATCCGCAGTTAGCAACATATCATTGATATGCAGAAGAAACAGCGTTGGTGATGAGGTCTGTAGTTTCTCAGATATATCATACTTAGGCAAGGTAGATGATAGAGAATTAACGATACTTATGCTGAACTAAAATATAATAAAAGAATACTTTAAAATTGATGATTTATTTATTATCTCCACAAAACGTAAGTACATAACTAGTCAAGACCTTAAATTAAAATTACAAAGTTTAAGTACTCGTGGGAGGTGCTTACGTTTCCTATATAATTAAAAAGTGGTTAATTAATAACGATAAAATGTCCAGGATCGATTATATTACAACGGTAAATATATTTCTTTTAATAATTACAAAGTTTCATTTATTCTTTCATGCATATATTTTACATTTAGATAAGAGGCGACAAAAACTTTTTCAAATGAGTTTGTTTTGCCGTTACAGAAACAAGTTTGCAGAAATTAAAATATTTTGAAAATTAACTAAAACAGCATTGTAATAAACCAAACCGGGCGGTTAGCGATTTAATTAGTTTGGAATGATTATAAAATAATACTCATAGATGTAACTTAACGTTTGTGCTAATAAAAATTACACACATAATTATCTATTATTTTTAAATTGTCGTTATTTATATTATGAACAAAAAAATCAATATAAGTAATATTATTTTTATAGGTCTTTATATTGCTCTTTACAGATGGGATAATAGGATGTTTAATTGTAAATTATTTCAACATTCAATTATAAATTCAGTCTTAAAATAAATAATTACAATCGTTTATTTCATCGGGAATATAAAAAATGTACAACCATTAAAATTTATTTTTTATTATTATGCCGGTTACTCACATGTGTAAAAAGTTTAGTGCACATAAAGATTAAAATACCAAACATATTAATTTAATTGATTATGTTGATTATGCTTCATTTTTCAAACGTGGTATAGCCATGCTATATTTTCAAACGGAGTAGAGCCACGCTGCAACTATATTATCATTGCAATACGGCTCGTCTGGGGAAGGACCACGCTCACGGAGAATATGAGCTTGAAATAGCAGCTTAATGCTGCTGTGTTTTATATGGTAAGTGTAGAGAAATGGAGATTTAATCAAAGATAGATTATTGATACAGGTAAACTGTGTGCTCGATTATTACCCTTATTCTATAAAAAATACTCATTTACGAACGTATATGAATATAAGTTTTTTCTTATAATCCTCTGTAGTACGTTTTTTACAATTCTAATGTCATTTTTGGTTAGAATATTTTAGGACGACTTTTGCAGAAGCAACACAAATACGCGAATAGTGTTATTTATATACATAGCATTGTCTATGATTGACGTCGTTTGCGTTAAAAAACCGATATAGCTCGGTAAATTGAAAAGTTTATTAAAATTGTGCAAAATCATATTATGCAAATACTTTTCTATACTAGTAGTGCACATATGAGTGGCCGGCGTTACAAATGACTTTACAGACATAGAAAAATAGCAAACATGTTAACCACATCCTCCTTTTTTTTTCTAGAATTGTGTATGGTCGTGCAAATTATAGTAATAAAGAACCAAATAAAACAAGATAGGCGTTACGTACGTCTTTTTTATACATAGTCAATTCTCATAGTATTTCGTTATATATCTATATTAGAAAAACACAAACAAAAAATGGAATAAGGCAGATTTTGCATATCGAAAATTTTCATAGACATAAATGACAGAATGTGTGTAATTTACACGTGTATATATATCGAGGCCTCATTTCTTTTTTAAAGCTATAAAAAATAATTATTATCATCAATTATTTTAGCAAAATTTTAAAACGGAATTTCAGAACGGTTAAAAGACACAATTTATGGGGCGTTGCCAACATAAATTTTTGCTAAAGCAAAAACAGAGCAATCAGTACAATCCCAATAATTGCGAATTTTTATAGTCTGTTATTCCAATCAATTTTTTAAATTTTTAAAGAACAATGGTAGACATATTTTAATAACTATGAAGAAATTAATTTATTTGATATACATAATCTCCTTTACATGTAATCTCACAGATTTGTATTTTGAAATATTTGTTTTTAATACATTAGCTATTTTTCAGAGATATTGGTCTTTTTTCTACTAAATTCCCGTATTATTATTCGACAAAAATGTTGTCTATTCTATTTGAGGCCAGTGCGTACAATTTTTTAAAAGTTTAAGAATTCATGTTTGATAATTAAAATATTTATTTGAGCAACTCAGTAATAAACTGTAACTTATGTACGATTATATGTGAAAAGTACAGAAATATAGAGTTAATTTAACATTGCGTAAAGCGAATATATCGTAAATTAACTATGTATGTTCCTGTTTCTTAAGATGTTATCATCTAATTTTTCTATTTTATGCATCGACACTTTGTATGTGTCACGTTTGGAACGTTTTTAACGATATTTTAGTAATGCTTACGGTATCCTATACATAGTGTTTAAATAATAATTATAATATTGTTTTAATCTGATGTAGATACAATTGACTGAAGTGAAAACAAGGCACTCTTTAAAGGCCCATTGTGGTATTATAATCTAGATTTTAGTATATTGCTATGACAATTATTTTTCCACATTAAAGCGCGGTCATTTTTAAAATGCTTTACTGCTATGCAGGACTTATTTTATAACTAGTTTTTACGCACGTGGAACTTAAACAAAAAAATTAAAATCCTCCATGTCTTTTGGATATAATATAGCCATTCCGAAGATTAGCATGGACAGACAGGCAGACATTGAGTTATATGTACTAGGTACTAAAGAAGCCATTCTAAACAAAAAATGTGCGCTACTCGATGTCTTCGCGCATGTGCGGGAGATAGCGAAATAGTCTGAGAGTTTTGGCGGGAACTTGACCGGCGGCGGTTTGCTGCTCGTGTTTTATTGTTTAAATAATGGTTTGAAGTGGACTTTGATATGTAAAAGTGGTGCGATTTTGTGTATTAAGTATCTGCGCATGTGAACTATTAGTGGAAACTGTGAAACAAGTGCTCTGATGGTGATGTGATCCTCAAAATAAGGTGTCTGTCTGCTTAGGCGCCTTGAGATACCATCGCCAACCATCAGCTGTCTGCTGGCTCAAGTTGCCGTCAAAATCTCCCAAGGGCTGCACAATGTGACGCATCAACATATTGTGAAGCAGTATACTATGAAGGATAATTATTATAATATATTGTAACTTCGGGCTCAGAAGGGCTAGATCCCAGAGCCGTAAAGCCAGTTATTAAGAAGAAGAAGCGGGAGATAGCAGAGTCACGCATACGCAATTGCGCCACCACAGACTAACTAGTAGATTGAAACCACAGTACAGATTGCAGTACAGTTCAGTTGAACATAGTGTATGTTCGGAATGCGAAAACTAGTACGTAGTACATATATATCGATGCAGGCAGACAAAATTTTTATAACTGGTGCAAGCATGCAAATAACCCCCTGAGTTTAATAGAAGGCACTTATTTCTTTATTACAGACTTCTATTTTATTTATTTGTATAGATGAAAACTGTGATATTACAATTGTTTATGCTTTTAAATAAAATGTATGACTAGTGTTTATCATGTAATAAATGAAAATTTTGCAACTACAGGTAAAAGTTTTAGGTAATTAATAAACTCAAAAGTGCACAGCTAGTACTATTATATATTCTGTGGCACAGCCCAGAGAATTAAAATGCAATAATCCTATAGCATAGTCATTATTGCCACGCTTTAATGTGAAAGTTCTGTTAACGTGTCTAAAATATTTTCCCGCGCTTATTAAGGCACAATACAAAATATCTACTACTTTAAAAATAACAATAAAAACTAAATTATCAATGTAAGTACTTACGTGTTTTTCGGAATTTACACGATTATAGTGTTAACGTTGAATGATGTTAGAATTTGTATTGTCAGTGCAAATGGTAATATATCGCTTTAATCCCTTTTAATTTTTTTTTATTTTAGTGGAAAATAATATGGCTATTTTAAATATTAACATTTATGGTACTATTTACTTACATCTAGTATAATTTTTAATGTGCACCAAAGTTTTTACGTGAAACCAGTACACGTTAGATCTAGAATGTAAAATCTGTTTAAGGAATGCGATGATATATTATGTACATTGCGGTTTAGTTAACAGTTGAGTTAGTTTTGTACGGATCAATTGCGAAATGCATGAGTAGAAAAGTCGTTAATTAATGCAGTTGTGAAACAGTGCGATTCAGTACAAGTTAGTACATATTTCTATTATTAGCTTTTTTTCGTATCGTTTCTTAAGGTTCCTTTGGATAGAGAAAATTTTCTCTTGGGTTTAATTATCTGTTATACGATGTAATCTGTTGTACCATTCGCCTTAATAGATCCGACAATTTATGTGCATTTTGTAAATATATATTTCTATCAATATGCCTAAGTACACAACGGACGAGATCGATTCCATCTCGTATTAAGTGTAAAAATCGTGCGTACACTAGTAATATCTAACATCCTACGATAACTCCAGTAAAACGTTAAAAATTATATTTAATGTTACAATAAAAGTTTTAATTAAGACACTAACTATCACTGCTAATGTGTACACATCAAACGGTTTACCGAATAAAATCAAAAAGTATCCTATACACGCGGCAAAACTGAATGCGTCAAGTTGTAACAAAATGGTGGACGTAAGCAAGATGGACGCCACGTCATTTTTGTAAAAACACACGATAGTGAGTGTAATTGCAGCGGGGTAAACGATTGGATCGTATTGTTTTATTAATTGTAGGTACAATATTATTGTTACTGTTATGTGGTCTATGGCTTCATAGATTAGGCGCACCAAGAGTTGGGTACAGCAGATCACCGCTGAAAAAATCCGAGGAGCCTTGAAGTTCGGGTTGGAGCGGGCGCCTCGGGGAGTTTCCTTCGCTTCTCTTGCGTTGTGAGCTTGTGCTTCATTTGCTCCTCGATCAGCTCTTGCATGTCCATCTGAAATGGTTATAAATATAACATTTTGTTATATTTTAAAAATACAGCATTCGATTAAGTTAAACATAATAGGAATATGAGTAACGGTTTAAGTATAATACCTAAGTTACAATAAGCACTTGTTGCTGATTTAATTATGCAAGATTGCTGACATAGGCCAACGGATTAGAAAGCTGAAGTGGCAATGGGTCGGCAATATAGCTCGAAAAAACGACAACCGATGAAGAAGGAGATGGGCAGCAACATCTTCCTAATAAGAGCTGAAAACAATAAAAAACTGCGGTTGCCCACCCGCCTGCCTAGCTTGAAAACTGTGTCAAGATCTGCCTATGAGGAATGCGTAACACATTTTATCAATATATAATCCTATCCAAATTTGGAAGCATTTGGCCACACCAGTTTATCTCACCTACACTGCCGTTTCGGAAATTTATCAGGTGCCTCAATATTTTTCCGTAATTTACCTTTGTAAGAGATAGAGTGAGCGAGAGTTACATACCTGCCACTGCTCGAGCTGTTGGCCAAGGTCCACCTTCTGACGCACAGCTTCATACAGCTGGCTGTTGGCCTGCATTAGTTCAACTCGCGTCTTCGCCAAAGCGACCTGAAACAAAATATACACATTATTATCTTCAATAGTTTGAAACTCAATATTATAACAGTAATTATAGTAGAAAAAAAAGGATCACCAAGAAGATAGAAGATAAAAAGAGATTTATATATCAGAAACAGTTAAATAAATATTATTTTTATGGATTGGAGAATACCGTGGTAATTCAGGGGCTAAGCGGTCGTTGTAAATTTCCCAGTACATTACACAGCACGTATTGGGACATTTCCCTGGCCTAAAACCCTCTTAGAAATGAGATGAGACCTGTGTGCAACAGTGGGACGTATATAGACTGTAACTTTAACTTTATATTGGTTTGCAGCAATCTTTACTGGTATCGAGGCAATCAATCTTAGTCTAATTTTTAGTACTAGAATGGAATACAATTTAAAATGAAAACATTGAGAAGACACTTGTAAGTTTGAGAGATCGAATTTATGTAAAGTCCGCCAACAAGCAGTCCCCTCCCTTCTCCGAAATCCTCTCAGTATTGAGAGAAGGCCTGTATCTGATATTAGGTTGGATGCTAACTAACTTTTTTATTTTTTAAAGTTATTTGACCTCTAATTTACCTATACTTATTTTTTTTAATACTATTCGACATACCACGCATTTGAACCAAACTGTTTGATACATTGGCTTATTCGTACAGATTCGATTTGAATAATTTGCTCTCTTTCCATCCGATTACAATGTAGATATCTAAGGTAAGAGTGTGAGTCTTCGCCTACGTCACTAGATCCGATTACTATCCGTAGTAGACAAGCATTTTCTTATAACATTTTAAAAAAACTTGGCTTCTTGATGTATTTTTAAAAGGCATAGGTACTTATATTATGCAAATAAGAACTTATATAAAAAAAATACTTTCATGTAGTAAAAACAAGCCAGCAAAAGTCACATTCGTTGAAAAACAAAATTACAAACGAGTAGAAGGAATCCGTACGTTAGTATTTTAAAACCAATATTTTGCGAGTTCAATCGTTTTAAGAAAAGAACATACAAAAAAAAATATATATTTTCTCTTAACTTAGTCTCTGCGTTAAATAAGTCTGAAACGCGAAAGTTTTTTTTTATGGCAAAATACGAAGAATATGTGGCACAAACCTCGGCGACCTTCTTCCTCTCGATGGCCTCGTCTCTTTCTTGGCGTGCGCGGGAAACTGCCTCGTCGTTCTGCAGGCTGTTGTAGTTGGCGTCGTTGAGCAACTTGTCGCGTTCTTCTGCCGCCGCGCGAAGCTCCACTTCTGCTACTGATAACTGGAAGGGGAAGATAAGAGAGTCAGCTAATGCAAGAGGATATTCATATTGTTCATTTGTGTTGTTGATAATTAATAATCGCTATTGTTCTGTTCCGTGATTAAGGCGTTGGCGTTATAAGAATATCGACTACCTTAATATCGATTCGTGGGTGTCGTAAGAGGCGACAGAGGGAAACAAATCAGGAGATAGGCAGCGGCGTATTAAAAAAATAAAAAGCTGCGGTTGCCAACCCGCCTGCCAAGCGTGGCAACTAAGACAAATATCCCCCTTCCAGACAATCTATGGTGGAGGAATATGTTCAGCGGTGGACTTTGATAGGTTGTGACGGTAACGATAATTATTTCGTAAGGTCTTTAGGTTTTTTTAAGCCATGCTGCAGCTATATTAGTAGTAGGTATAGTTGTAGCACGAATGGGTCGGCTCGACCGGGGAAGGACCACGCTCTCACAGAATACCAGCGTAAAATAGCAGCTTAACGCTGCTGTTTCGTATGGTGAGTGTAGAGAACCGGAGACCTTTTTTACTGGAAATGAGGCATTACACGGGTAACAACGCATCTGCATTTAGACTCGTAACCGAGAATAGATGTAGATGTCTATGGGCCGCAGCAACCACTTACCATCAGGTGGACTGTGTGCTCGTTTGTCACCCTTATCCTATAAAAAAGCTAACTTGACTCGACAGCAAATGTAATAATGAATCACATAATGTCAACGAAAAGTTGTATTCAGTATTCCCTTTTACGGCAATGTCCATTATAGAATAGAATATCATTTGTTCTATATAAATTATAATAATACTTATTGAATGTCATTTACTTTTTACCATCGGGTCGAAAAAAAAACTTTCGTTATGGGAAGAACCAGCAAGAAACCAAGCATTCTTAAATATTAATTTACAATTCAATAACAATAAAATACAAAAACATTTAGAAAGAACATGGTAGTAATCACCTCATTCCCAGGGTTTATTATCAATCACGTATTCTTCAAGTGTGATAATTAATAACATAATAAACAACTTTTGCCTAATATTAAGTTTAAACTTTTTGTCATCTCGTACGTGTCAAAAAGCCTTGCTGTAGCTATATTATCTCGGCTCGATAGGCTCGATCGGGGAAGGACCACGCTCTTACAGAATACCAGGGTTCAACAGCAGCTTAACGCTGCTGTGTTTCGTATGGCAAGTGTAGAGAACTTTTTACTAGAAAGAAACGGGACATTCAAACTTAGTCCTAGGAGTGACAACGCATCTGGATTTTGATTCCAATTTGAGGATAGATGTCGATGTCTATGGACCATAGCATCCACTTAATGTCAGTTATGACTGTGCTTTTGTTTGTCACCATTATTCTATAAAAAAGTATTTATGTCGTAGAGAGAATCAGAAAGCAGACTCGCATAATGTACCTGTATCCACGCTTCCGTCGTTCAGTACAAATGCGAAAATAGGAACATTATCCAACCACACCGCAGCTACGAGTACATTCGCCGTGCTAAACTAGGCCACTGCAGGGCACTTATGGTTCCGCGTAATGCACAGAGTACACCTACATTTAGTTATTTAATAACGAAACGTTAAAAAAAGTAAAAACTGTCCAAGTGCGAGTCGGACTCCGTACGCATGACGGTTTCCGTACCATCGTACAAGTATAAGATTTAATACTATGTATACGGAAAAAAAAAAACACAAAACCCTTTTAATTTTTAATTAATGTTTCTTTGTTTTTATAGCAGAAACACACATTGTGTGAAAAATTCAACTGTCTACCTATTACGGATCATGAGATACAGCCCGCTGACAGACAGGCGGACGAACGGACGGACGAATAGACAGCGGAGGCTTAGTAATAGGGTCCCGTTGGTTACCCTTGGGGTACGGAACCCATAAAATCGACTTCAAAGTATTAAAAATAATATAATAATCAAAATCAGTCGACGTGGTAAATAATTATTTGCCAATATGTCGAATAGACCATATGGCAACTCGCTTGCCAAGCGTGGCAACTACGGCAAATATCCCTCCTATGAGGCAATCTATGGGGAGGTCTATGTTCAGCAGTGGACTTTAAAAGGCTGTTACAATAACGGTAACGGTATGTTGTACAGAAGCCTTCACAAATTGAAGAGTTTAAAGATATCCTCATGAATTTCATTCATCGTTCAACAGATCTTGACCAATTTTTTTTATAGGATAAGGGTGACAAACGAGCACACAGTCCACCTGATAGTAAGTGGTTGCTGTGGCCCATAGACATCGACATCTATCTTCGATTAAGAATCAAAATGCATAAATGTTGATGGGCCACAGCATCCACTTACCTTCAGGTAGACTGGTCGTTCGTCAACCGTATTCTATAAAAAAACTCTTCCTTTTTGAAGTCGGTTAAAAATAATGTTGTTGTGTAATAATATTAATAAACTATTAAAAAGTAATTTTAATATTTTGAAATACGATCAATTCTAGAAAAACATACACAGAGAAACTAGTTCAGATATGTTACTCTGTATTTATTCAAGCTACTTCTAAAACAGTTGCTTAAATTCAGGTGTGACCTACATATATCCCTCATGAATAACTAAACAAATTACAACATATTTTCACATTTCAGATCTCTATAGGGTTCGACTCTAATATTTTTACAAGTGGTAAAATTATAAATTTTGTACAACTGACTTCAATATAAATAATTTATTGTTATTTTTATTGTATAAACACCACTCGACCGATTTCGATAAAATTTAAATGGCGCCACCTGGCAAGTATTTCCTTTGAAACAAAAAATAATAATTTTCCAAATCGGTCCAGGCGTCTTCAAATTATTGGTTATATAATATACATTAAAAAAAGATTCCGTTGAATTAGAACCTCCTCCTTTTTTGAAGTCGGTTGAAAAGGATGTCTGTGTGTTGTATATAAGGCTGTCATTTTTTTTTAAACTCTAATAAACTATTTTCGAGACCTGTCAATTATATCGATGGTTAAAAATAAAAAATATTTTTTAGAATAAAAGAACACTGTCAACCTGATGGTAAGTGAATGCTGTTGTCTATAGACATCTACATCTATCCTCGATTATCGATTATGAATCTAAATGTAGATCAACGTTATCATCCCTAAGGACTAAATACTCCGGTACCCTTACCATAAGCAACAGAGCAGCATAAAGCTGTTATTCTACGCTGGTATTTTTTTATAGGATAGGGTGACAAACGATGACACAGTTCACCCGATAGTAAGTGGTTGCTGTGGCCCATAGACATCTACATCTATTCTCGTTTGCGAATCAAAATGCAGACGCGCTGTCACCCGTGAGGACTAAGATGGAAAGCCTCGTTTCCAATAAAAAGGGTCTCCGGTTCTTTACACTCACCATACGAAACACGGCAGTGTTAAGCTGCTATTTTACGCTGATATTCTGTGAGAGCGTGGTCCTTCCTCGATCGAGCCGACCCATTCGTGCTACAAATATACTGCTAATATAGCTGCAGCATGGCTCTACCACGCATAAAAATTGTTTATATATATGTTAATGTTACAAAATACCTATATTAAATTATAGGTATTCTGTGATATTAACATATTACCACTAATCTAATGTAGTCGAAAATTGCAAAACAATAAAAAAGAAAGTGGAGCATCGCGTGCCCAGCACACATATAGTGAAAAATAAAACAAGACCGATGCGTGAGAACTAGCCTTAACGGCAGGTGTAGGTGATAGTTAGCGCATTCACAGTCGATGGCTAATCTTATATCTTATATTTTGTAGACTGTAATTAACTTGTTAGGCACCACACGATTAGGACGACAATATAATCTACTGCGACAACTTATCTATATACTACATGTAAGATATCAAAGGTGACGTGTAAATGTAGATTTTTTTGGACTTTATATGCTACATATAAGGTAGTACACACTCATACGACACATTCTATTAGTAAACTGAATGGGGCCGGCCCTTAAAAAAATTAAAAATTTTGTACAACCGACTTCAATATAAATAAAATGAGAACATCATCAATGTAGTCGAGTGAGTGTCAGTGAGTAGTGAGTTTTTTTACGTGGTAGAGCCATGCTGCAGCTATACTTACGTGGTAGAGCCATGCTGCAACTATATTAACCGTATAGTTGTAGCACGAATGTGTCGGCTCGACCGGGAAGGACCACGCTCTCACAGAATACCATCGTAAAATAGCAGCTTAATGCTGCTGTGTTTCGTATGGTGAGTGTAGAGAACCGGAGACCCTTTTTACTGGAAAAGAGGCAATCTATCTTAGTCCTCACGGCTGACAACGCATCTGCATTTTGATTCACAAATGAACATAGATGGAGATGCCTATGGGCCACAGAAACCACTAACCATCAGGTGGTCTGTGTGCTCGTTTGTCACCCCTATTCTATATAAAAAAAGTCGAAGTCAGTTAAATACGCATTATTAAACATAACTCAAAAACTACTGGTCAGATCTTCATCAAATTTATATGGGACTACATGAGAAGCACCAGCTTTCTAAGCTAAAAAACAGAATCTTAAAATTCGGTTCACTTCTGAGATAACACACATAAAAATTTACAATGGAATTGAGAACCTCCTCCTTTTTTAAAGTCAGTTGAAAGAAAATACAGTCAAATTAAGAACCTCCTCTTTTTTTTGGAGTCGGTAGAAAAAGGTTCTCGAGTGGCAGCCACGCATCGATATGCATCGATAGAGACGAAATGTAGGGCGACCCTCACTAGATGGAGTGATGACCTGGTAAAACACGCAGCACGTCGATGGATACAGGTGGCTCAGGACCGTACTTTGTAGCATTCCTTGGGGGAGGCCTATGTTCAGCAGTGGACTTGTGAAGGGCTGAAATGTTGATACACTACACGTAAGATATTAAAGGTGTATGACGTGAAAATGTTGACTTTATTTCGATTTTACTGGGTAGTAGAACATCTGTTTCAACTAGGTCAAGCTGGATAGATACCTATTCGTAGTGCCAAGCAC